TTCAGCACCTCTCTGCTGCATGACATCACCACGCAGGCAGCTGATTGGCTGACAGGGATGCTGCGCTGTGATTGGTCCAGCAGGGCAGAGGCAGGGGAGGAGGAGGAGGAGGAGGAGGAGGAGGAGGAGGAAGAGGAAAGCTCTACATTTTTTATTTATCTTATTTTATTTTATTTCATAGAATTTTATTTTATATATATATCTTTTTTTCCAAATCTTTTGCAGACACAGCACTTTCAGCACATTAAACAAAGTACAGGACAATGTGTCTGACATATGATATACTTTTTAAAGGAGCAACTGTTTAATAAATCCATTCTCTTCTCTTTATTAAATGAATCGCATCACAATCACTCCTTTCTGTTGAGAAACACACAGCTACTGATCAGCTGGTCCTGAGCCTCCCTTATGGGGACAGCATGGAGGTCCCCATAAGGGAGGCATTCATTTGAGGTTGAAGAATTGGTTAGGGTTAGGGTTAGGATAAGTCTCCAGGAAATGCATGTAAGTCAATGTAATGTCCCCTGAAGTGATGTATACATGGTATGTGTGTGTGTGTGTGTGTGTGTGTGTGTGTGTGTGTGTGTGTTAACAGTTTTACTCCACAGACCAGAAGACTATTAAACACCTGAACTTTGTAAGGAACATCCGTAAACATTCATCTGTTTGCATCTTAGAAATGATGTAACCAATATCTCATATTCCATGTACTTGTATAAAGACTCTTTTTGCACTATTTCTATTTCATTTGTTGAATAGTTTGTTATCAGTGTTTCAATGTGTCTGTTTATGTACGCACCACAACTCCAGACAAATTCCTCGTATGTGTAAACCTGAGACTTACGAATATTAGACTTTGTTCAAATTCACAGAACTTTATTCAGAAACACAGACGAGACCCCGAAGGAAACACCAGGTAGAAGCATGCAGAACATAAAGACCTTTATCTCTGACTGCATTATACATTTTAAAAACAAAACAATATAAATGTTAAATGAGTCTCGTGCCGAGGAGCCTCTGAGGTGACAGACTGACACAACCAGCATTACTCATCCTGACTACACACACACACACACACACACACACACACACACACACACACACACACACACACACACACACACACACACACCACACACACACACACAGTCTGTTGCTCTTCTAACTCTCACAAATGTTAAACTGATTATAAGAAACACTTAAAGTCCGGCTGGTTTGTGTAAAAGTATTTTTAAAGATCAGAGGGTCCTCAGGTCGGTGTCACATTTTCTAGGACTTCAATATATTTGTATATTTAATAATAAAATTCAGTGATGATGAAGTCATATTGTGTTTTTATTTATTTGTTGTTCTTATATCTATTTATTTTACTGACATAGTTATTTCCATATTTCATTTCTTTAACAATTATATTGATTAATTAATATACACATATATTTGATTTATCTTCTCTCTGCTTTTTCTTTGCATGTTTATGTAGTCTTCTGGTTTAATGTACATTCTGCAAATGTAAAGTAACGTATGTCCTTATCAGAATGGATAAGTGTTTCATACATTGGACATCTTTCTTATGAGTTATAGGAGAAGACAAGAAAAGGTCATCGCCTCGGAGGACATTGATGAACATATTTGAAATACCTTTTTTTTTAAAGATTATTGTCTGCAGGATAATTCTCCTGATGTAAGTCAAGCTAAACGGGACTACAGTTCCCATCATGCACCACAGCAGAACACACTGTTCTCCTCTCTCCGATGAGGTAATGCAGCTGCAGAGAGAGTGTGTGTGTGTGGTGTGTGTGTGGTGTGTGTGTGTGGTGTGTGTGTGTGTGTGTGTGTGTGTGTGTGTGTGTGTGTGTGTGTGTGTGTGTGTGTGTGTTGCTGCAGCAGCGAGGGGAGAGAAACCTCCACATCCCAACAGATGATGTCACCTGCAGCCAATCAGCTGAGAGCTCTCACTGTAAGGGTGGGAGTAGGAGTGGGTGTGAGTGTGTGTGTGTGTGTGTGTGTGTCTGTCTGTGTGTGTGTGTGTGTGTGTGTGTGTGTGTCTGTCTGTGTGTGTGTGTGTGTCTGTGTGTGTGTGTGTGTGTGTGGGGGGGGGGTATGTAAGTCAAATGATTCAGCAGGAACAACAAACATCTGCAGTAAACAAGAGGGTTTTATAAGAAACATCAAGATAGATAAAATGTTAGTAACAGTAACAGTAACAATAAATTAAACATTTTAAAATATAACACAATATGATGATGAGAAAAATAAAATAAAATATAGTATATATGAAATATATAAAAACAAATACAAACATAAAATATGAATAAAATATACAATATAATACAATTAAATTGTGTGTGTTATAAAAAAAGGTAAACAAAACATAATATAATTAAAAAGACTAGAACATATAATAAATTGAACAGAAACAATAACAAATATAACATTTATATAGTAGGAATAGAGCAGAATAAATGAGGAGTATAGAATAAGACGAGGCTCTGCAGGACCTCCAGGGCGAACAGCAGCAGACTGGAAGAGATGACATCGTCTCTGAGAACGGACGATGATGTCATTAAAATGAGGTCATCGCACTGCGCCCTGCAGTGATGTCATCACAATCTAAAGAAAACAGAGCAGTCACGTAGAGGAGGTGTGTGTGGTGTGTGTGTGTGTGTGTGTGTGTGGTGTGTGTGTGTCAAGCTTGCCTCTAACATCTTTATTATTTAAACAAAACACATTATTATCCACAGTGTAATTTTTCTGCATTCCTCTCATTAATATTCAGGTTGAGAGATTATCATTATGCCCTAACTTTAGTCTCCCAGGCACCACTGCCTTTTTTAATAGGAAGTATATTGCATTCACTTTGGTTTGGTGAATACAGTAAACATCTTACAGTGAAATAGAAATATCCTTCTTCCAACACAGTCCTGCACCTCCCTCGTCCAATGAGATTCCTCCATGTGCTTTTTGATTATTGCAGAAAATAATCTCTTTGTCAAACAAACGTTTATGATACGTTTATTTCAGCAGGATAATCTCCACATATCAACACCACTTTATGATTTCTCAAGTAAGAAGCTAACGTTGGGCTATAAAGGAACTACAGCACGGTCACATGACTTCAAGTCACCACCGCTAAGCTAAAGGCGGCTAATGTTGGGCTATAAAGGAACTACAGCACGGTCACATGACTTCAAGTCACCACCGCTAAGCTAAAGGCGGCTAATGTTGGGCTATAAAGGAACTACAGCATGGTCACAACCCAGTCTCACGGCATTTCGTGTTATAGTCATGAAATTAATTTAATCTATTGATTCATGTTCACCAACACGATTTCCCCCTTTTTTTCGTGTCACACAGAACGATTTTAAAGCAATGTATTTCTATTGGTAGTATGTTTCGTGCCTGCAACACGTCTTTCTGTCCGGTCGGGTCTTGGAAGACCAGAAGCTGTGTGGTTCATAAAAACATGTTCTTACTCAATATCTTACCCTAAGCCTAACCCTAACCCTTTTATTTTAAATTGTATAATGTCTGAGTTTTTTTGCCGTCAGTGAGGAAAAGAAATGGCTCAGAGCCTCAGAATACTGACATCTGTATTTTATGTCATCTTTTTTTCCTTCTAATTTGTTATTATTTGGTGCAGGCACGAAACATACTACCAATATAAATACATTGCTTCTAAAATCGTTCTGTGTCAGAATACATAAATCTGTATTTTTTTAAATGTCTTTTTCCTTCTAATTTCTTATTATTTACATTGCTTTTAAAATCGTTCTGTGTGACACGAAAAAAATGGCGAAATCGTGTTGGTGAACACGAATCAATAGATTAATTTCGTGACTATAACACGAAATGCCGTGAGACTGTGTTGAGTCACATGACTTCAAGTCACCACCCGCTAAGCTAAAGGCGGCTAATGTTAGGCTATAAAAGAACTACAGCACGGTCACATGACTTCACGTCACCCACCGCCTAAGCTAAAGGAGGCTAATGTTGGGCTATAAAGGAACTACAGCACGGTCACATGACTTCACGTCACCACCGCTAAGCTAAAAGCGGCTAATGTTGGGCTATAAAGGAACTACAGCACGGTCACATGACTTCACGTCACCACCGCTAAGCTAAAGGCGGCTAATGTTGGGCCTATAAAGGAACTACAAGCACGGTCACATGACTTCACGTCACCACCGGTAAGCTAAAGGTGGCTATGTTGGGCTATAAAGGAACTACAGCACGGTCACATGACTTCACGTCCCCACCGCTAAGCTAAAGGAGGCTAATGTTGGGCTATAAAGGAACTACAGTACGGTCACATGACTTCACGTCACCACCGCTAAGCTAAAGGCGGCTAATGTTGGGCTATAAAGGAACTACAGCACGGTCACATGACTTCACGTCACCACCGCTAAGCTAAAGGCGGCTAATGTTGGGCTATAAAGGAACTACAGCACGGTCACATGACTTCACGTCACCCACCGCTAAGCTAAAGGCGGCTAATGTTGGGCTATAAAGGAACTACAGCACGGTCACATGACTTCACGTCATTAACTGTGTGAAAAAGGCAAAGCTCTACTCAGGACTGCTTCTGATGAGATTGATACAAATGCTTTCATTTATGAGCTGCAGACACAGATCTGAAATGAAATATTCATGTCTGCCAGTTTTGAACCAGTTTTACCAGTGTGTGTGTGTGTGTGTGTGTGTGTGTGTGTGTGTGTGTGTGTGTGTGTGTGTGTGTGTGTGTGTGTGTGTACGTGTGTGTGTGTGTGTGCTCAGTATGAATGAGCAGCCTGACTCTCTGCCAGCAGTCGTGTGTTTTATTTGTGTCGGCGGCGAGGCTTCGTGACTCGCAGCATTTCTGTTTGTGTTTCAGCCCACTGAGGAAGAGGAGACGAGGAGAGAGGAGAGGAGAGGAGGGAGAAGAGGTGAGGAATGAGAGAGGGGTTAGGAGGTGTGTGAGGAGATGAAGAGGAGGGGGGTTGAGGAAGGAGCTGCAGGCGTAG